CCTTTGTCGGATTGATGTTACTGTTAAAGTAAGCTAAAGCAACTCTATGAACCCATTTGCTGCTTCTTGGCTATGTTGAATCCTAAATGTAGTTCTGTTTATGTTACCGAAAATGTCAGAATCTTTACTGGGCTGATAGTGGTGACTTGGTGGCAATTACCAGTGATACATCTTTCTATATCCTAAAGTACAATGTAAGTCTCGTTATATTATTATCTTATTAGATCTGCAAAATGCATTGCACTGTGAACTCTTCTTACGAATTTAGTATTTCTGATGTTGCAGAGGGATGTAGTTCAATCTTCCTTAGATAGTGGAACACCAGTTGACGAGCAGGGAGTTGAGGATGCATTTGAGCTTCTTCATGAAACCAATGAACGTGTCAGGACCGGGATATGGGTTGGAGACTGTTTCATTTACAATAACTCTTCGTGGAGACTTAATTACTGTGTTGGTGGAGAGGTATTTGTGTTCTGCTTATCCTTGTCTTGAAAGCATTCCGTAGGTTTTTGTAAGTTCTGTCTGTTTCATTTTGAAGATGTAATGGTTTTAGGTCACCACAATGTTTCATTTGGACCGTCCATGTACTTGTTGGAATATCTTGCAAGTCAAAGTCGGGTGTATCTGATAGACAAAGAGTTTAAGTAAGTCGGCTGGCAATGGCTAATTTTCATGTTTGAGTCACTTCAGTTATTTTTTCCTTTGAAAATACATTACTAATATGTACTTACTGTCATCTTTGTCATATGTTACAGTGTAATGGGATACACATTACTTCTCAGCCTGATCGAGTACAAGACACTTGTGATTCGCGGAGACCTGGAAAGGGCCAATGAAATTTTACCTTTTATTCCTAAAGGCTAAAGAGCACCATAATAGGTATTCATAAATATATAAAAAATCTTATCTTCCTTCCTTTCTTAAAGACATTGTTGGTCATTTTCTAGTATTAATCATTCATGTTGAATATTCCTTTTCCTTCATTTTCTTTTATTCTTGCAACCATCCCAAATTTGGATGGAGATGTAGGATATATTTCTTCTCCTTTCCTTTTTCTTCACCCCTCTTAATTTGGACTTTTGATTTGTGCTAATCATTCATGTTGAATATCCACATCCCCAGTGATTGGAATTTGTTTTCATCTATGGTAATACCTCCGTAGTATATCTTTGTATTGACGAACTTAGAATTCCAGATCTAATAAGTAGCTGATTAGAAGGCTGGTCCTTTTATCTTTGCCTCTTCTTTCCATCCTGAAAGCTATTTATTTTAAAACATTTTCATGTTCAGTTTCTCTGCTTTTAAGTTGTGATTGTTGAAATATTTATTGGTTTTAGTTAATCGTTTACTCTGATTGGTAGTGTTGCTCGTTTCCTGGAATCACGAGGTATGATAGAGGATGCTCTTGAAGTAGCTACGGACCCTGATTACAGATTTGAGCTGTCCATTCAGCTTGGTAGATTAGAGATTGCTAGGGTAAGAAAGTTTGATTAATTTTGTGATGGTGGTACTGCTTCTTGGATCTTTTTTCTCTTTGAAATTTAGAGTAATATATTTGGTGTTGTATTAAGATTTGATTGTGCTTTTTAACAATTTTTTTATCCTCACTCCGTGGGTTTTTTTCTTCTTCTGTAGAAAATAGCCACATAAGTTTTCAGTGAATCTAAATGGAAGCAGTTAGGAGATTTGACTATGCCCACTGGAAAGGTGTTTGATATTCTCTAATTTGCGAAATTTGTTTCAGTGACATTTCTTTCTGCTGTGATTGTCAGATCTTGATTCTCCCATCATCTATCTTAGCAGTTTTCTCTTTCTTTTATATTTGTTTCGTGATGTTGTAACAACAATTTGAAAATCTCCACAAAAAAATTTCTCTCGAATGAAATCTCTCTTGAGGATGTTGGCATAAATAGCTTTCCTTTCAGTAATTATTTCTCAATTTGTCTCTGTAGTTTATTAACTGGTGAATGCATGTACAAAAGCCTCGTCATACTTTCTTAGTTTTATGCAGTAGCTGTTTTTGTAAATCAAGCTTAATGCATGGGCATGTCTTATATATTGTTAGTTTTAGACAATAATGCCTTTTCTCCTTGTTTTTGAAGTTTTTCTATTAATTATTCTAAACTTGTCATTGCAGCTAGAACTGGCTGAACAATGCATGAAGCATGCAATGGACCTGAGCGGTTTATTGTTACTTTATTCCTCACTGGGAGATGCTGAAGGAATAGCAACACTTGCATCTCTTTCCAAAGAACAAGGGAAGAACAATGTAGCTTTTCTTTGTTTATTTATGTTGGGTAAATTGGAGGATTGCCTTCAGCTTTTGTTGGAAAGGTAATTCATTATCAAGTTCCTGGAATAATTGACTGCCATACATGTTATTATATTTATGGATATATTGAAATATTCCTATTGCAGCAATCGGATACCAGAGGCTGCTTTGATGGCACGATCTTATCTTCCAAGCAAAGTTTCAGAGATGGTAGCAATTTGGAGAAAAGACCTCAACAGGGTTAGTTGCCATTATTTGTTTCTCCGGTGTTTTCTTCATGCTTTATTCTTGATGTGCTGGGTTAGCTGTATAATGCATAAGCTTCGGTTTGTTTTGTTTCTCTCGTTTGATTTCCTGTAAAGTATTTCAAAATTCAAAATACTGCATGTCTAATAAAAATGACAAGCACTATTCCTCTTCCTCTGCCTTCTATTTTTCCTTTCCATACTTTCCCTTTTGTGCAAGATAACAGTAAATATTATAAAACATCTTGATACTTTCCTGGAAAAGATCGGTATGAAGTTCTGTGTATAGTGCTTTACATCTTTCTTTCTTTTTATAAGAATTGGAGGTCTCATTAAAAAAAAACCTTCATAATTGGTAAATTCATAAGAATTCGGCAAAAAGCAGGAGGGTTAAAAGAGTACCTCAGATTTTATTGATAAAAAGATAAAATCCCTAAGTTACAAGGATTACAACAAACCCCAAATACATCTTTCTTCCTCAGATTTTATTATTACTTTATTCCTCACTGGGAGATGCTGAAGGAATAACAACACTTGCATCTCTTTCCAAAGAACAAGGGAAGAACAATGTAGCTTTTCTTTGTTTATTTTTTTATAGGAATTGAAGGCCTCGTTAAAAACACCATTCTTGATTAAAGGAGCTTGTAGAGAAGCTCCTTAATGAGCGGAAGGAGGAAAAGAGTGCCTTAAGATTTCATTAAACATAAAAAATTACATAAGATATATATTTTTTTATAGGAAATAGGCCCCGTTAAAAACCCCATTCTTAGTTATTGTGTTGAAAAAGCACAATAACCAAAGGCAAGGGAAAAGGGTGCCCATAGTTTATTACCAAACATAGGAAATACAACCAGACCGACACACACAAACAAAATCGACTTACAACAACCCTGAAACCCCAAACTCACCAAGCCACAACCTCAGCACTCACTAACCTATTCCAGATTTAGCTAAACAGTCAGCTTCCCCATTAATACATCTGCTAATATGCCTAAGAGAAACACTAAACTGCAACACTGTCTTTGAATTTCTTTGATCAAGTCAACATAGAGAACCGGCACAATTCAGGGCTGTTGATCCATTTTAGAGCAAGAAAAGAATCACTTTCCAAGATTAAAAAACCTTTATCCCTCCAAACTGAATCAACGCTAACTCAACGTATTCCATCTTAGCTACAACAACAACCTCTAATATGACTGACCAAACATAATGCCTAAACTTGGCCCGAAATACAACACAAAACAATATAATTATAATAGAAGCCAAATATAACAGCTGACTCAAACCATATAAGTCAAATTCTAACACAAAAGTCATGAGCTTCCACACGATAAGAGTACAAAAAGCAAAGCCAAACACTCTATCCGCCTTTCTGCCACTTATTGCTCGTCTTGTCGTCGGAGGTCATCCAAACCTCCAACTCCATTATCAATAATCATATGCGAATCACCTGAAACTATTCACTATATTTTGTTTCTTGAAACAACACAATCTCACACTTAAACATCCAACAATCCTCCTTAGTTCAGAAAAATAAAACATTTGAGCCCATTCCTCGAATGATCCAAGTTAAGAACCTCATCTCGACCTATTTCCTCTTAAAACAACTCAAAATCAATAGAAAGGGAATGTGACACACCTTCCAATACTTCCACTGCTAAAATTTTTCGAAATCAAAACCACTTCTGAGCCTTTAGACTCTATACCCAATTCTTTCCTGATCTGTAAGGTTTCTTTCGCTTCCTTCTTTTGTCTCTCCCACCTTGCTTGAAAGTCATAATCATATAGGGATCTGTCTTCAAGTTCAAACAATTTTTCCTCGCGTTGCACCTTCTTCTGATTAATCTTGCTTCGGCAATATCTAGTCTTCCTTTGAGGAGCCGTATATTTCTCTTGAAAAAATTGGAGAGAGCTATATTTATTGTTTTCCCCCTCCTTTGCTCTCTGGTTCTACCTGGAATTGTGCGTGAAAAAATCATCCCTCAATTGTGTTGACAAGCCAAGGCTCTGGTCCAAATCCTCACATACTATCCCCGATTTGGTTTTTCCATCCACCCGGTCCACCATAGCCCCATCCTGTTGGACTTCCTCACCCTTGGATCTTTTGATAGCACATTTATTTGTAAGGACCATATTAATCACATCCTCCACCACCTTTGACTGTAAATAGGGGTGGGAATAGGCCAGGCCAGGCCAGGCTTTAATAGGCCTGGGCCTGGCCTACAATGATTTGTGTCAGCCTGGGCCTGGCCTGTGGCCTGTCAGAGGCTTTTATTTAGGCCTGGCCTGGGCCTATTTAAAAGACTGGCCTGTTTAAAAGCCTGTTTAAAGGCCTGTTTAACAATAAACATGTAATATTTTCGGTTTAGCCATTAATTTTAGAGTAAAATCCCTATTAAGTCACTCTAACTTAGTACATTTTACAAAGTAGTCACTCTAAATAGGCCGGCCTATCAGGCTTATAAGGCTTTTTAATAGGCCTAAGCCTGGCCTGTTTAGTTAAATAGGCTGTTAAAAAGGCCTGGGCCTGGCCTGTTTAGTTAAAGAGGCCAGGCCAGGCCCAGGCCCCTGGAGGCCGGCCTGGCATATTCCCACCCCTAACTGTAAACGACCATCCAAAATGGGAAAATCTAGGGTACTACTAAACCTATCAAGATTTGAATTTTAAATTGAAATTCAACTTGGGCCCCACTCAACTTTTCATCATTTCTTTGAATTTTAAAACCAATTCCACCTACCATCCGACCCTACATATCTCTTCAATTTAAAATTTCACCCTTTACATATTTTATCTCATCCTTGGACTTCACGCTGACTTTAATTCCATCATAAATATTTTATTTATAATACCCATACCAACGTGCTAAATACAAAACTAAAATCCTTACCCATACCGAAAAGACTGGAGTTTGAAATTAAATGATGCCTTATGGGCATATCGTATCGTTTACAAAGCTCCTATCGGCATGTCCCCAAATAGCTTAGTCTTTGGAAAATCGTGCCATGTGTCGGTTGAATTGGAGTATAAAACTTATTGTACGATAAAGGAATGTAATATGGAGATGGATTCATTCGGAGAAGCGCACAAACTTCATATTCAAGATCTCAATGAAATTCGCCGCAATCCTTACGATACTGCCCGAATATACCAGGATAAAACTAAATATTTTTATGATCGTCGTATTTCAGTTAAAGTTCAAGACAATTTGGGAGTTTGTTTCAAAGTGAATGGTCAACGATTGAAACTGTATTACGAGAATAATCAAGCTTGTGTTATCAAGGATATTATTTTAAAATAACATGTAGTCTGAATCAGGTTGTCGGGCTAACGACGTTAAACAAAGTGCTTTATAGGAGGCAACCCATTTTTTTTTTCAATTTGTTTAATTTATTTCAATTTAATTTAATTTAATTTTTTGTTACATATTAATTTTATTTTTCTTTGAATTTTCAGGTATCACAAATATTTTTAATCGAACAAATTTGGAGCAGATCTGAGACTTTTGATCGAATAACCGTAATTTCCAATGACTGGAATGGTGTTTCATGCAAAAATTCGATCTCATTCCAGCCATGCGACAGACGTTAACAAAACTCCCACCTCCCCCCACCCGGCGCAAGTTAGCATAACCCATTTGCCCATTTTTATTTCTTTACCGCCCATATACCCTAATTTACCCCCATATTTCAAGATTCCCTTTGACCGACCGCTTCCTACACTTTTAATAAAAAAGAGAGGAAAGGGAATCTATTAAACCCACCAATATTAGTGTAATCATTATGTTTTTTTTTTGTTTTTTTATTAAAAGTGTAGGAAGCGGTCGGTCAAAGGGAATCTTGAAATATGAGGGGAAATTAGGGTATATGGGCGGCAAAGAAATAAAAATGGGCAAATGGGTTATGCTAACTTGCGCCGGGTGGGGGAGGTAGGAGCTTTGTTAACGTGTGCCGCACGGCTGGAATGAGATTGATTTTTTGCATGAACACCATTCTAGTCATTGGAAATTACGATTATTCGATCAAAAGTCTCAGATCTGCTCCAAATTTGTTCGATTAAAAATATTTGTGATACCTGAAAATTCAAAGAAAAATAAAATTAATATGTAACAAAAAATTAAATTAAATTGAAATTGAAATAAATTAAACAAATCGGAAAATAAAATGGGTTGCCTCCCATAAAGCACTTTGTTTAACGTCGTTAGCCCGACAACCTGATTCAGACTACATGTTCTTTTAAAATAATATCATTGATCACACAAGCTTGATTATTCTCGTAATACAGTTTCAATCGTTGACCATTCACTTTGAAACAAATTGTCTTGAACTTTAACTGAAATACGACGATCATGAAAATCTTTAGTTTTATCCTGGTATATTCGGGCAGTATCGTAAGAATTGCGGCGAATTTCTTTGAGATCTTGAATATGAAGTTTGAGTGCTTCTCCGAATGAATCCATCTCCATATTACATTCCTTTATCGCACAATAAGTTTTATGCTCCAATTCAACCGACAAATGGCATGGTTTACCAAAGACTAAGCGATTTGGGGATATGTCGATAGGAGCTTTGTAAACAGTACGATATGCCTATAAGGAATCATTTAATTTCAAACTCCAGTCTTTTCGGAATGGGTAAGAATAGGGTAAAGATTTTTATTTTTGTAATTAGCACGTTGGTATGGGTATTATAAAGAAAATATTTATGATGGAATTAAAGTCAGGGTGAAATTTTAAATTGAAGAGATATGTAGGGCTGGTTGGTAGGTGGAATTGGTTTTAAAATTCAAAGCACAGATGAAAAGTTGAGTGGGGCCCAAGTTGAATTTCAATTTAAAATTCAAATCTTGGTAGGTTTAATAGTACCCTTTTCGTTTGAACCTTCCCCTGACCAGCAACAATATTCCTCAGACCCATAATAATTTCTTCCCATATGTTCATTTCCTCATCGTCCTCACACGACAAGTTGTTGCCTACAGTTCTGTTCCCCATACAACAT